GAACCCGAGGCTCCTTTTGTCCCTATAGACCGCTAAACTGTTAAGCTTTCCACCCGGATCCACTAATCCTACGCCCTCAGCCCCTACGCCCCCGAACCGTCTAAGAATATAGGGACGACTTAATTGCAATTGCAATACAGTTTCTGGGTACGTTGTGTCATGAGGCCACAATTTACACAACGGTTGTAAGGAAATATCATAGATTATTATTCAGGATTCCCTGCATTTCTATGAACGCCAAAACATCCAATTTCCATTCCAGGTTCCATTACATGTGCCGTATTTCTTCCAGTTTATTCGTCCTTTTTCTCTATCCCTATATCTGCACAGTTTCCATTTCAGTTTTGATTATTGTTTCTGTCTGGTGCCAAGCTCGCGCCAATGTCGCCGCAACGTGCAGGCATTTCAGGGTTTGGGGTTCACGGCTTCGGGGCTGAGTGTTTGGGGTGTAGGGTAGCGCATAAGTTGAAGGTTTAGGCGTTTGGGCTCCAGGTTTGCGGCTTTGGATGTAGGATTTGGAGCTGAGGGCGTACAGGCTATGATGAAAAATGGAGCCCAAAATGGAAATGAGTTAGACAAGCGAGTTTTGTGTTTTGGGTTTAGGGGTCTTAGAGTTAAGATTTGGAGTGTGGGGCAAGCCAAGGGCCGCAAATCTTGGTTTTTGTTATATACTATACTCTAGCGTAATATAGTATAGCACAGTATAGTATAGTATAGTATAGGATAGTATAGTATAGTATAGTCTACTATATGCCAAAACACTGTTCCTTTGTGTTCCTTGCCCGTGTAGTTCACCTATGCTTCGTCCCAGCTGTTTTGATCAGCTCTTCAACCTTTCGTATACATGTTTGAGGGTGCTCCTACTGCAAATCGGGAAATGTTCCATGAACATGTTCCCAGCTTCAGGGCTTGTTCAGGTACCGTCATGGATTTTTGACGCAAGTTTTGGGCAAGACCTCCAGAGAGAAGCTCTTGCTAGCCCCGAGACAGAGCATCAAAACACAATTCTGGATCTCCAACCCGAAGCCGTAAACCCCAAACCCTAAACCCTAAACCTTGAGGCCTGAAGTGCCTGAATTGGAATCTTGAAGCCTATTACCATCAGCAAGCCTAAGCCTCAGTGCGAGAAGCCAGAAGCCTACGAGCATGTGGGTGGTTGTCAAAATTATGGTCCTTTTTTGGGTAGCCTAAATAGTAGATGCCGTATTATAATAGGGATCCCAAAAAGGGCCATAATTTTGACAACCACCCATGTAGCTAATTCGTCTTACTGTGCTTAAGGGGAAATGAAGGATCCGATACCATTATGGTATGCGTGGGAATAGTTCGCTAAAGAGAGAAGCTGCAGCAGCCATTACATTGCTACCCAACCCTTCACCCTAAACCATAACCCCTAAGCCCGAACCCCCCCCAAGCAATTGCCCCTACGGTGCCAGTTAGGACTTAGCGTTTTGAGAGAATTTTCCCTTCAAAAGGACAGTTGTTTACAAGGGGCCCCTCCTGAAGTTCCGTCACCTCTCCGTTTGCACAATTCCCACGTTCAACCTCACGCCGAAAACGAGCGACAGCTTGTAAATCCTAGATGCAGCCGTAAAGCCCGGTTCAAAGCAGCAATGGCGTTACGATAGTGATTTTTTCGAGAAAGGCAAGAAGGGCGCTAGCAGAAATAATCTTAACAGCATGAGTATGCTATGGTCAGCAGCAACTGAAACCTCAACCCTCATCCCCAAGCCCTAGACTCTCAAACCTAAACATTCAATCCCAAAACCCTCAACGCTAAACGCTCAATCCCAAGCCCTCAACCCCTAACCCCCACCAACCATAAACCCTCAATCCCCCAAGCCCCAACCGTAAACCCCCAACCCTCAACCCGAACCCCCCAACCCTAAATCCCTAAACCCCTAAACCCCTAAACCCCTAAACCCATAAACCCATAAACCCCAAACCCTGAACCCCTAAACCCCAGATCGATTTCAAAGAACCCTCCAAGTTCGGAAGTCCACCACATCAGGGCTTGCACCCTTCCAGGCAATCCCGTCGGTGGCGGCGATGGCTTCGCACCGCAGAGCCAGGCCATATTGAGATACATGGATTGAGACTGGATTGTACAAGATGATTTGGGTACAAGTGGAGATTGTATAGGGATATGCAAGAGGAGTATGGTGATAACGGATAACAGAACCAAGTAGGGTGATATTGGCTTATATATATATATATGGGCTTTGAAAGGGCTCTGGGAGTAAGGGAAAACGGGAACTTTAGCTAGACATGACAGTAAACTGGGACGATACAAGGCTGTGTAGTATTCTTCATGTAGAACCCTGAAATTGGACAGGTGCCTCCTGTGCCTTACTTGAATTTGTGACAAAGTTGACGAAGAAGCTTCAGGCTAGGTTGGAAAAAAAAGCGCTGTAGCAAGTAATTCCGTGGAATTAGTAGTTCCGCCAAATGGGGGGCGAACCCCAATGCAGGCCCTAGTCTATGGTAATGCATCTTATGGGGATCCTCAAAAGAATACCCCAAATGTTGGGAACCCCCCAAATCTTTAACCTGATCATCCAACACGCCTCCAAAACTCGGCGGATAACCCTATTGTCGCCCTGTATAAGCAGGCTGCTTAACCCTTTAGTGAACCAGGTTGCAGTAGAATGGTGAGATTTGGCTTGTCTGCAGGGTTCCAATGGTAGTACCCCAAATTCTAATGCGAAAATCCTGCACCCTAAGCCCCAAGCCCCAAAGAAGGACTTAAGGGATCCACAAGTGAGTTTCAGTTCATAGTCGGAGTTAAGGGTCTGGGAGTTTCGAATTTAGGGTTTAGGG